TGTGGGGGGCGGGGTGGGGGGGGGGGGGGGGGGAATATATATATATATAATAGAGTTCGAGAAAAGATCAAACTTGGTTTCATCATTATAATAGTACCATAATTTTAGTGCCTATCATATATGATCCTCGAATTATAGCTATTATCGACCTCATCTAAATTTCAATATTAGAATCTTTTAGCCCTCTGTTTCAACTGTCCATGCAGTGTCAGTTATATATGGATTTATAAGTCAAAATCCCCATAATAGTATTTTGTCATCTCCAGACGCTTTCTTCTGGATTAGATGATTATCCTCGTGCATCACACCCTAGTGAAGATGAATGTCACTTGGATCTTAGATGTTGGATGTAATTTGCTGCCAGATTGCATGCATTCCATTTCAGAGTTTCTTGGGAAGGAGAGTGAACTTGGGAAGGTATAACTAAAATAATATAGAAACATTTTCTAAGATATCAGTTTAATTCTTTTACTTTATAAGGTTTTGTTTAAATAATACAGGAATACGGTTTGACAGCAAAGCTGCTTTCAGATTTTGAGCTTTTAAATGAGGTAGATCTACTATTTCCTTGTCAACGTTTGCATGTTCACTCTCAGCTAGTCTCTGATTACACGTTTGAATTTTTTCCCCTGGCACCTGGATTGTATTTCTAGAATTAGTATACAACATTATCATGCAAAAAGCAAGCGCTCGGAAGCGCAGTCTTTTTGGTAATCTTGGTCTTCACCTGTGGGTTTTTTATTAAGATAAAAAACTGTCACTAATTGATGCCCAATTTTGACATTTATTCTAGGAAACATAATAAGTGTTTTGATTTCGTTGATTCTATAATAATTTCCTACTTTAATTTGGTCTAAATTAAACCATATATAAAGGGGTCTTTTGCGTTGTAATAGAACAACTTGATTAGATGAAATGAATTGATAATCTCCCCCTATTTCTCTCTATTCTCTTCCTTCTTCTTCTATTTTTCCCTCCTTTCTCCTCCTCTCATCTTTCCCCTTCTCTTATAATTGTTCCTACACATCCGACGTCAATTTGGTATTAGAGCATTGGTCTCCAATATGCTTTTAAAACATCCAAATTTTGTTATAAAAGTAGCAGTTGCTTCTTGCCTTTGTGAAGTATTTCGTATTACGGCACTCGATACCCCTTATAGTGATGAGACAATGCATAATATTTTTCCACTAAGTATATCATTGTTTGCATCTCTTACTAACACATCTACCAACTTATATGCTGAGGGAGTTAGAACATTAGATACTATGGCTAATATGAGATACTACATCATCATGTTTGAATTAAACTTGTTTTATCTTTAAGAGAAACTCATCTAGGGAATATCGTCACGCTCATAGTGACTATTATGACCCTTATATTAGAGGAAAGTGACAACATCTCTCTGCACTGATTACCCTTCTTTTGGAAAGTTTACAAAATGTATTGGAAAAACTACAGGAGGTTTTTCCTATTGCATTTAATGTAGTGGAAAGACTTTTTGAGAATTGTGCTGACATAATCAAACCTTATTTGTCACAATCTATAAAATCTTTAGGGATTTGTTTATTTGATTATAGTGCAATTGTTTCTTCCATTTACACAGAAGTTGAGAGTTGTGAACAGTGTATTGAGTCCCC